CACTCACACACTCACTCTCTCACACACATACACACACACACACACACACACACACACTCACTCACACACACACACACACACACTCACTCTCTCACACACACACACACACACACACACACACACACCCACTCACTCACACACACACACACACACACACACACACTCATCTGCTGCATGTGTGTCATGCTCCTGATCTGAGATCAGCATGTTCCTCATATCTGACAGCACAGGATCCAAACATTCAGTGCTTATTATGACTCATAATTTCACACAATCTTTTGTTCATTTTGGTTCTGCCTTCATTAAAGGATCAGATCAGACTGAGATGAGAATCAAACCCATGTGATGTTCAGTCTTCTGTGATTCAGCAGAATGTTCACGCTGCTCGTTTCATGCTCGGTTTGAAGATTGTGAGTCATGTGGGTTCATGAGGGTGATTCTCATGTTCACTTGATCATCCTTTAACACTGCAGACATGATGCTCTTCCTCACTTCCTCACTCCACTACAAACATCTAAACATTCGTAAATCACGATACAGTTACCAGAGTTGTACAATGATGTCAGATAAGGCTTTTTTTATCTAATGTTAGTGTGCATCTCCAGTAAATGTACAGTATCTTGATTGAAGAATGGCTAGATATTCCAGTAATTATGAAGTTTGCTCACTTTCTTGCATCACAGATTCTTGTTCATTTAGATTTGTGTTTGAGAATTGAATAGTCACATGACCTCATCAGTGAGTGACGTCCAGTTAACTGCAGATAAGAACATTAGTTTGCATTTATAAATCAAATCACACTGGAAATGGAAGGTCAAATCGAGCACATTGCATTGTGGGATACAGTATGTGATGATGTAGATCATTCCACGCATCCAGTGCACAGTGTACATGCTGCATACTGCAGATCAGTAGTATGTTAGTGAGTTGATGATCGCATCCTGAGCTCTAGATTCTGATCTCATCTGGATTTCTTGTGTGATTAACAATGTCTTTCTTCCTCTTATGGGCCACAGAAATTCATGATGAAGGTAGGAATCCATGTGAGTGTGTGTCCGTGTCCGTGTCAGTGTTGTTGTTGTGCGTCCCGCAGTGATGTGATGGAGTGCAATGTAATGTAGCTGTACAGTGAGCTAATTCCAGTGAGACCAGAGCGAGTGCAGGAGTGAGTGTAATGAGAAAATAAAGGTCCTGTTCTTCCTGTCCTGAAGCATTACTGCAGCCATTACCTGATACACACACACACACTCGGCCTTAAGAGAGCCATTAACACACACACACACACACACACTCCCAGGAACATCAGCCTCACGATGGAAAAACACTCAAACGTATTTAGACTCGTTTGACATATCGGCATTCTTCATGTTCGTTTATGTACAGCACATTGCTATTTGTTTTGTCCATTTATATGCAAATCGATTGTTTTGAAACGGAAGTTTTACAGAAAATAGCAGGGTAATAAATATTTAAATGGAATTGGTTTAAAAATTAAATAAGTTATGTATTATATGATTTTTAAATATTAGATATACTCTTAAATGTATGAAACAATCATTTAAAATAATATTTTAAAATAGCCTAAATACAAAAATAAATATTATAAATAAATATTTTTAAAAATACCCTACACATGCGCACACACATATTTTATATATAGAAATATTTTAATGTATACATAGACGTATATATTTTATATATTTAAATATACTTTATGTAAATTTGATGTTATAATTAGATAATATTACATATTTGTGTGTGTATTTAGGGTGTTGTGTGATTTAGCTGTGAATGTGAGGCTGATGAGTGTCATATTGTATTCAGTGTTATGAGTGTGTATCTCTGTGTGTGTGTGTGTGTGTGTGTGTGTGTGTGTGTGTGTGTGTTTCAGACGGCGCAGGGCGGAGGCCACCGGACGCTGCTCTACGGTCACGCGGTCTTACTGAGACACTCCTACAGCGGGATGGTGTGTGTTACTCTGACGACTCGTCACGTCTGAGTGTGTGTGTGTGAGATTCACGTGTCGATGTGTTTCTCTCTCCAGTATCTGTGCTGTCTGTCTACGGCTCGCTCATCCACCGACAAACTAGCGTTTGACGTGGGGCTTCAGGAAGACACGACAGGTGATGTCACTTCCTGTTTACATTCCCTGACTGAATGTTTCGCAGGAACATGTGCTGGTCATATTTCATCACAAAATCAGAAAACAGAAATAAAAACAATGAGAATGAAGCCTGTTCTCAGGACCATTAGAAGAATTTTTGCATTTTGACATTATTTTCATTATTCTTATTCTCATTACTGTTATGCAGTGCCCTTTTAGTGTCATTGAGACACTTTTATAGTTTTTGTTTATATTTTGAATTATGTTGTATTTTCATGTTAGTTTTAGTTATTTTGTTGTGTTTTGTCATTTTTATTAGTTTTTGGTTGTAAATGATCTGATTTATAACTATACTTATCCTGTGTGTGTGTGTGTGTGCGTGTGCATGTGTGCGTGTGCGTGTGTGCATGTGTGCGTGTGCGTGTGCGTGTGCGTGTGCTTGTGCTTGTGTGTGTGTGTGCGTGCATGCATGTGTGTGTGCTTGTGCGCGTATGTGTGTGCGTGTGTGTGCGTATGCATGTGCATGTGTATGTGCGTGTGTATGTGTGCGTGTGCTTGTGTGTGTGTGTGCGTGCATGCATGTGTGTGTGCGTGTGTGTGTGTGCAGGTGAGGCGTGCTGGTGGACCATCCACCCGGCGTCCAAGCAGAGGTCAGAGGGTGAGAAGGTGCGAGTGGGTGATGACCTCATCCTGGTCAGTGTGTCGTCTGAACGATACCTGGTGAGTTTTACCAGAATCAGAGCCTGATGGCTGCACGTCAGCTAAAACCCGTCAGAAACACGCTGATGAGTCTGAGGGCGTCTCTCTGTTCCAGCACTTGTCGTATGGTATCAGCAGTTTGCACGTGGACGCAGCTTTCCAGCAGACGCTCTGGAGCGTGGCTCCGATCTGCTCCGGCAGTGAAGTGGCTCAGGGTGAGTGAGTATTTGACACGCTAATGTCACGCTACATTCCACTTCCTGTTCATTTACTCAGCACCATGTGTTTCAGGCTTCCTGATTGGTGGAGATGTTCTGCGGCTGCTGCATGGTCACATGGACGAGTGTTTGACCGTCCCGTCAGGAGAACACGGAGAGGAACAGCGCAGGTCAGGGTTCATCTGATCCAGCGGCGTTCACTGATATAAAAGACTAGTTCACATAAATCTGTCATCATTCAATCAACCGCATGCTTCTCCAAAGCAGTGAATGAGGACAGATGCTGTCAAATGATGACACAAGTTTGGTGAACTGCTCCTTTTAGGGGTCTGTTTGTTCCTGTGGGTCAATGGTTCTCAACCAGGGGTCCGGGGTCCACCAGGGGCCTCAAGATAACTTAAAGTTGTTTATAACAAAATAACCATTCAAATAAGCAAAAACAATGCATTTTAATGCAGCCTCTGAACAGCTTAGTAATTACCCAGTAATCACAAAAAATTGGAAAAGTCCTGTGGATTTGTTGGGTAAAAAGAGCAGGAACCCTGAGGAATATTCAGGTCTTATAACTTCTAAAATTATGAAATCTGTTGTACAGAAACTTCAAATATGGTTGTGTCCACTGTCCAGTGGGTTAAAGCGGCTGAGAAGCGCTGATGTAGATGATGTGGAGAGTGTGTTGTGTGTATCTGGTTCTGCACGGCTCACTGCTCCATCTGGACCGTACTGTGTGTTGAGGTTGATTAAACACTCTTGATGGTTGAAGTGTGGAGTGTTTCGGCTCTCTGAGGGTTTCAGTAGGATGTCTTCCTTCATCTTCTGAGGTCAACCGCTGTGGCTGGAGGTTGTTGGCGTCGCTGTGAAGAGCTGGATATACTTTTGTGCTCATATACAAAGGGCCAGGAAAAAACTGGATCAAAATAAAAAAAACTCCATGACATCTTGACTAACGGAATGAGATGAAGACGTGCAGAATATGAGCCCTTTAACATCGTACTCCAGTTATGTCTCGTAACACACCGTTGCTTCTCCTGAAGGTAAAGTAGGACGTTCTCTTGTTCTTCAGTAGAAACAGAGTCTCTCGGGTCTCCTTGTGAGGTTCTGTGAGACAGAATGAGATCTGCTGTGACTGCTGTAATTACAGAAACACCTGTCCTCTGTAGGACATCAGAAACGGATAGAAATGCGTTACTCTGCTCCTCTCTCTACCGCAAACTATTTAACCCAGAATAAACAGATGCCTCCTAAAATCATTCAACAGACACTTAAACATTAAAAATAAAACGAAAGCTAAATATAGTTTGGTTAGATGAGCTTCTGATTAGGAGAGCATATGTTATGATTATGAGGATCCGTAACTTGCATTGCATTCAATGTGTACATTTGATCAGTTCTTGCATTCCCTGGGAATCGAACCCATGACCTTGGCATTGCTCGCGGCATGATTTACTGTTTGAGCTGTATAAATCATTCGTTAGTATGAGTTTAAGCTCCTCGGCTTCACATATAAAGCTGAAGTCTGTTCCTCTCAGGGTTTGATGTTCTCTTTATCCGTGTTTCTCATCACCGGTGGCCTTGAGCGTGTCACGTCTGCTTTTGAACGCATGAATTCAAAGAACGTTTCTCTGTATCCATCTATCTCTTTTAACTCGAACAAGAGATGTTCTTGCACAAGTATTACGCAAGTGTGTGTTTTGTGAGGAGCGCTGCATTGTGGGACCATGTTTGTGTGTAGGTGTGTGTGTCTTTCTCGTCTCTGGTGTGTAAAGCAGCACTAGTCAGACCAGAAATGTTCCAGCGCACATCGTGTTCCAGACGCTGATTGTGATTCTTCAGACTGCAGTTTGAGGCAGACACAGACGCTCAGGAGGAGACGTCGTGATGAATGATGCTGTCTTAATAATCATTGTGTGTATTTTTACTTTTTTTTGATCCACATCAACAGTCTGAGCTCCGCTTCTCAACCTTCAGCTGCCCTCAAGAGTCTCACACAGACTTGTTTTGTGCTGCACAGGAAGTGATGTCATTATTGGTCTCAATTCTTTGCACTACTTCTGCTGTGCCAGTGTCAGAAATTAAGGAACAATTTTTGATTTTCAAGGACATTTTCTAACTTTCATTTTTTTTCTAGCCATATACAATTTCCATAAAATAAAATCAAAATCAAAAACTTCAGTCAAATAATTTTACTGAAACTATAATTAATTTGTCATTCGGAACAATTATGGCTGTTAGGACTGATCTCTAATATCTGACATCTGACAAAACTCACTAATAACACATTTGCACACAAGTATTTCTGCTTTGAATAGCAATGCACTGTAGATTTACAGTATGGACGGATGTGTAGACACTCATATGTTGGTTTTGTCTCCTGCAGGACGGTGCATTACGAGGGTGGAGCCGTGTCCATCCACGCCAGATCCCTCTGGAGGCTGGAGACGCTCCGAGTGGCGTGAGTGATGAGCGTTTCTCTGTGTGTGCTGATTCACACGCTCCGAGCACTTCAGTGCTGAGGAGGAGCTCTTGAGTTCATGAGTGCACCATTACTGAGATCTGTGCTGGGGAAGAGTGCAATAAAGCGTCTCTCAATGCCACGCCGGGGACACGGCCACGGCCACGTTTGAATAAAATCAATCAGTCAATCAAAATCATTAGCTTGCTTTTTTATTTCAGTTCATTTTTATTATTTACAAAAGTCTGGAGTAGTTAAGATTTTTCAATGTTTTTGAGAGAAGTCTCTTCTGCTCACCAAGACTGCATTTATTTGATCGAAATACAATCTAAAACAGCTGTTTTCTATGTGAATATCTGTTAAACTGTAATGTATTTCTGTGATGCGCAGCTGTATTTTCAGCATCATTCCTCCAGTCTTCAGTGTCACATGATCTTCAGAAATCAGTATAATATGTGACCCAGGAGCACAAAACCAGTCATAAGGGTCAATTTTTCGAAATTGAGATTTATAGATCAGCTGAAAGCTGAATAAATAAGCTTTCCATTGATGTATGGTTTGTTAGGATCGGACAATATTTGGCTGAGATACAACTATTTGAAAATCTGGAATCTGAGGGTGCAAAAAAATCTAAATATTGAGAAAATCATCTTTAAAGTTGTTCAAATGAAGTTCTTAGCAATGCATATTACTAATCAAACATTAAGTTTTGATATATTTACGGTAGGACATTTACAAAATATCTTCATGGAACATGATCTTTACTTAATATCCTAATGATTTTTGGCATAAAAGAGAAATGTATAATTGTGACCCATACAATGTATTGTTGGCTATTGCTACAAATATCCCCCAGCGACTTAACACTGCTTTTGTGCTGCAGGGTCACGTGTGATGATTCCAGTAGTGTTTCAGTTTATTAGGTTCCTTCACCTTTGACCCCTCTGGCGTTTGCGTTTCCATGAAGCCTTTAATCACACACTGCAGGACGTCAGCTCCTCTGCGTTCTGCTCTTCACAGACTAAAAATAATCCGGGACGCTGAAGTTGGAGCGTTTTATCAAAGTGGCATTTTGGGGTTGGGGCCAAATACTGGGGCAGGAGCCCAACACAGTTTACTTTCTGCTTTTGAATTACAAATCAGCGTCTGTTCAAGTTTTCATCGTGAGCATCTCGTCATTTTCTCATCCTCACGTTGAATCTCTGAGCTGCTGTTTGTGTTGAAAGCATCGTAAGAGTAGATCGTATGCAGTGTATATCAAGTCTTCTGAAACCAAATGATGCTTACTGTTTGAAAACCACTTGAATTTCAGTCATCATTAACTGATCCTTTAGTACTCTGTCTGAACTCAGCAGTGGTTTAGTGTGTGCCGCAGTGCATTGTGGGTAAGCTGAAGCCTGTCCTCTGGCTGTGTGCAGGTGGAGCGGCAGTCACATCCGCTGGGGTCAGCTGTTCCGGTTGCGTCACGTGACCACCGGGAAGTATCTCAGCATGATGGACGATCAAGGACTCCTGCTGATGGACAAGGAGAATGCGGACGTCAAATCAACAGCTTTCTGCTTCCGTTCCTCAAAAGTGAGACTGACGCCACACAAACCTGAGCTGAACCTGAAATACCTCAGACACTCGTCATTAGATCAGTTCATCTGCATACGAGGATGAAAAAGCGAATGTTAATTAAATTCTGACTCTGACTCAGTTCCTCAATTTGAATTGAATTGGTGTTGAAGCAGCAGACGGGATAAAGCCTTGGCCTTAAGTGTTTAAAGAAAGAATAATTGATGGCTCTTAATTGTTTTATCAATATTGATTTATTAATATGAGTTTAGTCAAAGCGTGTTTTTTTTACGCACCAGTGATTAAAAATGCAATAATTTTTCTAATTATTATGGAAAAAAAATTTTTTTTTAGAATTGAAAAAACATTTTAATTAGAATTGTCATTTCTGTCTTCCTGTCATTTGAGTTCCTGTGTGTTGAGAGCTATTGAATTCAAATTAAAAAAGGAAAACGGATTTTATATTGAGATGTTTGCTGACTGAACCGGTGTTTACCCATGATCCTCTGCTCGTCCTCCTGCAGGAGAAGCTGGACTTTGGTCTGAGGAAGGAGGTGGATGGGATGGGTGTCCCAGACATTAAATACGGCGACTCGGTCTGTTATATCCAGCATGTGGACACTGGGCTCTGGCTCACGTACCAGTCTGTGGACGCCAAGTGTGCGCGAATGGGCGGAGTTCAGAGGAAGGTGAGCGCGTGTACGTGGCTTTATAAGAAAGTGTTTGACAGGATCTGAGCGTGTGTGAGTGAGTGTGTGTGTCACTGAGTTCAGTGTGATGGATTCATTCATACGTGACGCCCGTGAGCTGCTTCTGAGAGATTCATTACAGACACGTCAGACTCTCACACCCTCATCATTAGCGCTGCAGCACACACACACTCACTCGAGTGGATGATGAATGTAAAGTACAGATATATGTGTGTGTGTGTGTGTGTGTGTTCTAGGCCAT